CACCCCAGCAGCGCCGCGTCGGCCGCCGCCGCGCCGCCGCCGCCCGCGGGCCACTCCAACTTGTATGTTGCGCCCGCGGGGCCGGGGCCCTGGGGCAGCCGGCTGAGGGCCGCGTACCCCCACACGTCGGTGGCGCTGTCCAGCCCCAGCAGCACGCGCTCCAAGGACCCCTGAGGGTTTAGGGAGCAAACGAGAGGGCAGGACGAGAGCCGCGGGCGGTCCCGTCTCAAGGGCGCGGCGTGCAGAGCGCCACACCGCGGCCGGCCCCTTGCAGGGTTTGACCGGCCGGCGGGCCGGCTGCGGTGCGAGGAAGGCCGTGGTTCAATTTGCCATTCCAGCGGTGGTCGCGGCGCCGGTGCGAGGGACGCCATGCGTGGATGAGGCGGCGCAACAGCGCGTCATTCGTAGCACCCCAGCTGAAAGACTGTCCCACACGTCCTCAGCGGCAAGCTCGCAACCAAGGCAAGCGGCCTGTGACTCACCTCAGGCCCGGGCACGAGAAGCAGCTCCCCAGACTTGCCACCCCACTTGGCGCCGCTCGCGTCCGCCCATCGCCGCGCGGCCGGCGGCAGCGCGGAGAGGGCCGCCTGCGCGCCGCCAGCAGGCACCACCAGCACAGGCGTCGCGCCCGCGGCGGCGGGATCGGAAGCGTCCAGGATCCAATCGCCCGCACGGCTGCTGGCTTCCCAGCACCACGCCGTGCTGGACGCTGCCATTGTTGACGCCGCTGCCGTGAGGGCGCGAGCGGAGTGTGAGAGGCGGGACGAGCGGCGCACGGAGCGAGAGGCGAGCCGGAAGGAGCGCAGGGACACCGCGCGCTGGAGGCAGCGCTGAGGGACGTGGCGCATGAGATGAGGGCAGCTTTTCTTATGTTATATGAGGCTGTGCAGTCCTGGCGACACAGCTATGTGTGATCTGCGTGGGAGATCTTGTGTACAGGCTGGCAATTCCGATGTTGATGTGTATGTACAAAATATTAGCCTGATTTGTAAAATTAAGGCGAGATCGTCCGTCAGATGAGCAGTTTTGTCACGCGAGCAGCAGTCCTGGGCTGGATGCGCAGTTGAGTTCATGAGTTCAGTTCACGCAACCCCCCTGGCGTCATGCGCACGACACTCAAAAGGCCGCGCGTCCTGCATCCAACGAGCAGGCAACTGAATAAACCTGAGCTTTGAGATGCTCAGAGCCCCTGCCTGCAAAGCGTGCATGCCCCCCGCAGCGTCGTCAACACTTTCATTCCGCAAGCGGCCACGCTCGTGTGGCGAAAGCAAGGGCACTGATTCGGCCGCCACAGGTGAGACCCAAGTCCCCTGTATGTGACCCGGAGACCCATTCAGCGCAGCAGCATGCTGGTGTTACATGTGTACACAGTCAATTGACCCGCCGTTGGCACCGGCAAAGTACAGTGCACAGGGCGTTTGAAGTTGATGGCGCTCGGGAATGATGGCACAATGCTGTAAGACTGCTCAATACAGCCGATGTGATACCACAGTGTGCTGTCACGCAATCTGGAGCCCAAGAATGGCAGGGTGTGTACTCGAATGGTGCGTACAACGGTTTTTTGCGGTGTGTGAAGCCCACCCTGGGGAATCCTCCACCCAACCAACATTTTGGTGCGGCATGCTGGCTGGTCTACGCTGCTTGCATGTGCAGGTGCTCATTTTTATTGTACACATCAAAGCAAACGGGCCTTGCTGATTTCCAACCCGTCGGTCTATAACGTGAGCCACACCAGACCTTTCAACCGCAGACGCCGCCCCACTCCCAGGGCCCCATGCTGCCTGCCGCGACGTCCGCCCAGCTGCCGAGCGCGTTGTTGAAGGCGGCGGCAGTGGCCAGCGCCATCTGGCAGGGGAAAGGGCGGAAGGGGCCGATTGAGTTGAAAGACTCGGCCTGGATGGTGTTGCTTTGTTTGATTACCCTATGTCGAGCTCGCTGGCTGGTGGTGGCCAGCGAAGAAATGGGAGGCAGCGTTTCCGTGGCGCGGTGCGTCCCGCCTGCCCACCGCTGCAATCCCCTGGCGTCGTCGGCCTGTCAACATCGCCGCGCGATCGCACCAATGC